ACCGGAGCCGCCGGGCGGCCGGGGCCGGGCCGAGGACAACGAAGAGGAGGCGGCCGGCAGAGCCGAGCGCCCGGGTAGCCCCGCGCGGGAGGCCCCCGGGACCGCGTCTGCTACGGGGCCGCGCTCCGTGCGCCTCTCGCGGGTAAGACCTGGGTTCGCGCATCGGGCCTGGGGGGCGGGGGGGGGGGGTGGGGACACGGGTGTTCGCGGAGTGTGGGCGCGTGATGTGGCGGTGGCCGGGCTCCGGGACCCTGAGGGGCAGTACCCCTCCTGCATTGACCGCACCTGTGGGAGACCCTCGCGGGGCCCCAAAAGGTGCCCATAGGGCATGGTGTCGGTCACACCGCGTGGCCTGGATTCCGGGCTTCGGCACTCCGAAATGACAGTGAGGCGACCTTCAAAGAGCCCCGAGCTGAGCCAGGCCAGAGAGTGAGCTGCACCCCGGTGCCCACTCACCCGCAAAACTAATGTAAATTACATCTTCTGAGTGTGTCTGGGACCGAACGGGTGGCTTTTAGGAGTCTTCCTTTCAGTTCTGGGAGATAACAAGTTTACTTTTGTCACTTTTTTGACATGAGTTTTTAAATCCTTTTCGAATCTCCAAGGTCAGCCACTTGCAGGTAAAAACAAATGTGATGAAGTGTAGTTTCTTCTTTTGTAAAGTTGTGTTTAGGGAAGCCCAAGTCCAAAGCCGAGCTGCTCCTGGGGCTGGCGCTGGATGCACACGAGCCCTTGAAGCCTCTGTGCTTTGAGCCCTTCCCTGCACTTGCTCAGAAACTGAAATCAGCGTTCACTTTGAGCGCCTCCGAAGTACGAGTGTTTAGGCTTCTGATTTCTTTTTGAAAAAGTTGTTTTCTGATATTCTTCACCAGAACTTAATTGCTTCAAAAAATGTGTAAATGTTGTTCGCAAGTGTGTGGGCAGGATGGGTACCCTTTCCTGGAGCATCTTTTGTTTATCTGTGGCAGGGAGTGACAGACAGGGAGACAAGCTCGGAACAGGGTCCTTTTCAGTTTGTGACTGCAAGAGCAGCCGGGAGGGAGGTGGCCAGACTGAGCAATGCCCAGCCCTGAGCAGTCTGCACTGGGGAGGGTCTTTCCCCCCGCCCCCCCGCCGCCACAAGCCAGGGGGTATGACAGGCAGGGAGTTGGACCTGGACCTGGAGTGACAGATGGCACCTTCCTCTCTGTCTTGGGTTGGAAAGATCATGCTTGTGTGCCCTTTGATCTCTGACCCCAGTTTTATCACAGAAGTGCCCAGACAAGCATAGGCCAGGCCACCTGGAGAGCTGAGCAGGGCAGGGGGTTGCTGAACCGGGTTAGAAAGCCTGTGTCCATGTGCAGCAGGTTTGGCAAGAGTTGGGTCTCAGCTTGACCCCAGCATGAGCCGGTTCCTGTTTGATTCCCCAGGGGCCTGTGAGATTTGGTTTCCCATCCCCAGCTCTTCCTGGAGGGTGTCTCTACCCAGGCTGTGTTGATGTTCCTTCTAAAAGGACACAGGCCTTTTTTTTTTTTTAAAGATTTATTTATTTATTATTTATTTGAGAGAGAGAGTGCAAGCGTGCTCTTGGGGGAGCATGGGGGGAGTGGGGGCAGAGGGAGGAGGAAAGAGAGAATCCTAAAGCAGACTCCCCACTGAGCCTGATGGTGGGGGGCTGATCCCAGCACCCCAAGACCATGACCTGAGAGCCTAAATCAAAAGTCCGCCGTTCAACAGACTGAGCCACCCAGGCGCCCCAGGACACAGGCCTTTGAGTGGAAAACCTGGATTCAAATTCCAGCTCCTCTCTCTTTACTGGCTTTGTGACCTTGGGCCCTTATTTAACCTCTTTGACCTGGCTTTCCCTTCTCTGGGATTGCCTGCCTCCCTGGAACAAACAAACCTCATTGGATTGTTACAAGGATTAAAGAGTGTTTTAAATGAAAGTGTTCATAAACGTTTGACTAAATGATGTGAGAGGGTTTCCAGGTCTCATTCCAACATGACTAGTTGTGTGACTTGGTAACCTTTTTCAGCCCTAACAGGGATAAATAAAGTGGATATTATAATACTAATTTTCTTTCTTACAAGTTTGCTGTGAAGGTCAAATCAGATCATGTAAAAGGGCTTTGAGGGGCGCCTGGGTGGTTCAGTTGGTTAAGTGTTGGACTGTTGATTTCAGCTCAGGTCATGATCTCAGGGTTGTGAGTTTGAGCCCCACATCAGGCTCTGTGCTGGGCTGGAGCCTGCTTAAGATTCTCCCTCTCCAGGCGCCTGGGTGGCTCAGTTGGTTGGGCGACTGCCTTTGGCTCAGGTCATGATCCTGGAGTCCCTGGATCGAGTCCCGCATTGGGCTCCCTGCTCGGCGGGGAGTCTGCTTCTCCCTCTGACCCTCCCCCCTCTCATGTGCTCTCTCATTCTCTCTCTCTCAAATAAATAAATAAAATATTAAAAAAAAAAAAAAGATTCTCCCTCTCCCTCTCTCCCCCAAAAGGGGGCTTTGAAAATAAAAGAGCGATATTTGCACTGAAAGGAGTTCCTAAACTTTCAGTTTCCAAACCAAGACCTCCTTACCATTTGCCATCTGATGTGGACTTCCTTCCGGTCATTGCTTTCTGAGCCCCAGCCTCTGACCTGGCACACAGTAGGTCTCTGTAACTGTTAGATGACTCTTGAGTTGACCATCTCACATAGGTTCTCAGATTTTATTTTTTAGTCTCGAGGGAGTGTCTTTTGTCTAGAGACACCGTTGAATGGGCCTTCTGGTTCCTCCCCCCATTTTTGGGAACAAATACTACCCATTCTGACTTGCCACCTTATTAGGTGTATCCAAATGGAGGCCACCTGCAGTGTTGAAAAATTCAACGTTTTAGTGAAGACACAGTAACTAATAGCATATGTGTGAATCTGGATGCCTCTAAGCTACGTATAATGCCAGTGATCAGCAGCTGCTTAAAGAAATGCTTTGACATGTGTTTTATGGAGGGACGTGTGGCTTTATGATTCATTGACAAGCTCATTTAATTATGTGTTTGTTAGGAGTGCACCTGAGGTGGAAGAGGATGGCACACAGGTGGAAGGCAGGCTCTTAGCATCCTTGTTTGGGCTTCTGGTCCTGCATTTGAGGAAGGGTTGCTCCCAGCCTCACCTGGTTAGTGGGAGGAGGGCTGTAAGTCTCTTCGAAGACCAGCACATGGCAGTGACTTCTAGCGGCCACTCACAGCCAGGTCTCAAGCTGTGAAATGGATCATACTGATGCTTCTTAAACCTGCCCTATAATCTTCAGGGCAAAGGAACCCTGGAAAGGGGGATTTGGAGGTGTAGCCTGAGGTTTCTGGCACTTTTTAGGGCATTTTTCAATGTGCGTTCACTGATTCCTTTAATGGAGAACAGAATGTAGGATTCATCTGTTTGTTTTAATATAAAAATGCTTTAAATTGTCTTGATTAAAAAAGCACTCAAGGAAGATGCACCTCATTTTCCCTGAGGCTCTGGGAGCTCCCTGCAGCTTAAATTTGTGTACCCCAATTTAGAATCTTGGAGCTGGATTATTTCTAGAGGCTCTGCTAGTTCCAGACTTCATGATGTGCCTGGACTTTTAAAAGCAGGAGGTCATCTCCTTCCTAGAGGTGAAAAGGGTGCTCCAATATCCAAGGGTATGTTAGTGAATTAAAGAACCACCAGAGTATAAATTATCTGGATTTGAATGTTAAGGAAGACCATGCTCTGGGTATTCAGGGGACTTTGAAATCTTTTTTTTTACCCCTAAGAATTTGTTGAAAATAACTGTGAACCTGCAGATGAAGTGGTTTGACTTTTTCTGGAAGGTATCCCTTGTAGAATACCATTCAGAGCACTTCTTTCTTTATTGCACGCCCCCTTAGTGACTAGACCTAGTTACTAGAGAGTGAGATTATGTTGATTAAAAAATGCCGCTGTCTCCTGAATTATGGTCACAGAGATTAGCTATCAGCAAATCCTACATTGGATTACATAGATGCAGGTTTGTACATGTCACTTAAAATGGGTATTAATTAGAATAATGGTAAGGATTTTGATTTTTCTTCTCCAGGTTTAGAGAGAAAAAGCATCTCTGCAAATGGAGAACCCTGGGATTTTCAAAATTCTCCATCAGTTCCTCTGGTGGTTTTGGTAAAGTCAAAAAGTCCTTCCCAGCAGTTCTTTACATCAACAGCCTATGCTGTGGGCCTGGACTTTTTTGAGGGTGCGTTCTGCGAGCTCTCACTTTCTAAGTTTTGCAAAAAGTAGAGAAGGCGGGACCTAGTGTAGGTTTGCTTCCTTTTATTATGTTTCTTATCAAATAATTTCCAGCTGGGGATGTGGTCAAACACCCGCCGCCTCCCATTAGAATGTTAGAATAGGTTTGGCTTCATTTGTGTTATTGACTCAGGAATTTGAACCAGGCGGAGCAGGTGAGCAATGAGGGCAGAAGCTGCCCTTGAAGTTGTTGGAAGAGCTTTGGAAAATTTTGCCTGCGGGAGTGGGGAGCAAAATTTCATTTTTGCTATTTATGCCAAAGGGGACTGAGAGTCCAAGTTCATGGTGGGACCACTTGGCCGTGGCCTGGGTGGAGGAGAGCGATGCTCACGAGAGGAAGATCCTGATGGTGCTCTTTGTGCCTGGCTTTTGTTCCCTGTTGTCCTGGCTCCAGCTGGTTGCAGGAGTGTAAGGCTTCACAACCTGACCTGTGGCAGGTGGGCCTGCAGCCCATCAGCATTACCTGGTGGCCTGTTAGCCCTGCAGAACCTCAGACCCCGCCCCAGACTTGCTAAATGTGAATCTGCATTTTTATTTTATTTTATTTTTTTAAGTAGGCTCCATGCCCAACGTGGAGCCCAACACAGGGCTTGAACTCAAAACTGAAAGATCAAGACCTGAGCTGAGATGAAGAGTCTGACCCTTGACCGACTGAGCCACCCAGGCGTCCCATGAATCTCCATTTTGAACATATTCCCAGGTGGTATTGATGCTCAGAGACCTCTTCACCTCATTGTGGTTCCCCGGAATGTTCTTTCCCCATGCGCAAGGCCAGACTTTGCATATATTGGGAAGAACAAGTGGCTGGTACACACTTGTTCCCTGCCCCACTGGGGAGAGTTGGCGCTCAAGGTGGGATTCCACCTCTTGCCCTCCCCTGAAAGG